ATATCTTTAAATATGATTACATCAGCAAGTGTTCATTGGACATCTACCGTGTATTCCACACCTTCCCTAAGCCTGGTGGCGTGGAGGGGTTTACAAGTGTTCTGAGCACACCCCTGGTCTTAGCCTGACTCCTAAGAAAGAGAAATTCACAGAAGCAGTTTTCACCTAGGGAAGACCCCGTGATAGTTTAGGATGCCAGGATGATAGGAAGATCCCCTACAATGCTGCCAAGTCAGAGTGGCACAGCTCTTCCCTCAGGACCTGTGCAATCTGGGCAAATTGCTCAAAGCTTTGAAGTCTCAGTTAACTTACCAGGAAATGGGCTTATCAGATACTTGCCATAGAGATAATGTGAGGCAAACACCACAAATAGTCACTGATAAGTACTGCACACTCAACAGCAGTAACGCTCCTTCCCTTTGTCCTTCCCTCTTCTCTGTCTTCCTGGAACACACATTATGGAAAGTACATTGGCTTGACCTTAGTGAAGAGTGGATCAAGAAAGGCTACGGAACAGCAGAGAACTCAGGCTGGCCCACAGCTCTTGTCACAGCCCCGGGATTCTTGGTTCTACTCTTTCTCTCAAGTAGTTCACCCAAAATTTCACCCCATCCCTGATCTATCACTTACTGTTCCACAAAATTCCAAGTGTGCTTCAGCAAAATGTTGAGCCTACAGTAAAGGGACACAGCACAGCCCCAGAACCCTTAAAAGTCCCAGGTGGAGGGCCCTCCCTGGTGGCACAGCGGGTTAGGGCGCAGCACTGTGAGCTGGCTGCAGCGGCTTCAGTGCAAGTTCGATCCCCAGCCCCGGAGGCGACCCACAGGGCAGAGCAGACCTCTCCTGTCTTGCCCACTGCTCCCCTCAGCCGTGTACTTTATGGATCTGCCTGTTCTGCTCTCCATTCTGTCTCTGGTGAATCGTCTCACTGCCCCTGCACCTCTGTCCTGTACCCCAGTTCTGTCTACATAAAGAAATCTTTATTAAAAAAAAAAAGCCCCAGGTGGCTAACTCAACTCAGGTCACTGGTGGCGGCCGATGAGCACCAGCTGTCCTGGGGGCTCTTCACCCAGGATTTCCAACTGGTGCTACAGATGCCAGGAAGACCTGAGGCCAGTGGTCTGCTACAGCCTATGCACATCTCCTAGACTCAGCACTTAGAAAGTCCTGAGCCCAGGCTGTGCATCTGTCTTCTTGGAATGGGGTAATCACAAGGCAAGTCTAAATGCTAAAGAAAGAGCCAGGCAGGGCAGGGCTGAACCACATGAGTGATGTCGGGCCCATCTCAGGCAACCCACGAGAGAACCAGGAGGTGGGCGAGCAGAAGGACAGGCTGCCTCGCCCTTGCTGGCACTTGGGGACAATTATGCCCTCTTAATGGCTGACAGTGGAGCTCTGCCCTGCGCATCTGAGCTGAGCCAGCGCGGCCCACAGATGCGTTCGACCCACAAATATGCAGTTGGCAGCTCCTGAACTTTTGGTGACTTGACGCCAGCTGATCTGATCAGCAATTACGTTTTATTTTGGGGCCAGGGAGACAGCAGAGTACCAGGAAAATTATAAGACACCAGAGTGCAGTTTTTCTAAGAATATCAACTACAAACTTTTTAAAAACAGATTGTTTGTTTTAATGGTTAGGAGTTTGCAAGGCACTAAAATAAGAAAACCTTGAACACTAAGATCAGATTATAGCCAATTTTCCTAAGGGAGCTTTTAAGCTTTTGTCCAACGAAAATCTGGGTTTGATTTTTTTTTTTTGAGCAGAGATGGGTAATTCCTGCCAAGAGAATTTTGCTGGAAAGAAAGAGCAGAGCATATAGATAAATGGATTTGAAGTTTGTCCTGGGTGTGAACCTCTACTCTGATTCTTACTTGCTGTCTGGCCTTGGGCACGCTCTACAGCTTTCTTGGCCTCCTTTCTCCTAAACAAAACCAGGGGTGTAATACAGAGCTTGGGGCTTATGCTAGGCGTTAGGTGGGGAATTTGTAAGCCTCTTACTGCATCTGGCCCACAGTGCTCACACAGAGCCCTATGATGGCACTCCCTGCTGCAATATTGGTTTCTTATCATCAAAAATTAACGGTTCCTGTTTCTAGCATCATATATCAAACCCAGATAACCAGTCAACATAAAAAGGGGAAGTGGCATCTTCCGATCAGCTTGATTTCTAGCACTCACTGGATTAGTACCTGCCTGCATGATAACATCAACTCAGGCTTAGCGGCTCGCAGGGTAGGGGAATGGGAGAAACCTCACCCAACACATCAGCATGCTCACGCCTTCTCTCCCCTTCACTCCACACCCCTACCGAAATGAGCCCCGAGATGGTTACTCCAAGGAACGTCTCTTAGTGAACTTGTGTGGGAATGGAACATAATTGCAGCTTGTAAAGGAAACCAGCCCAAGAAAAAACATTCCGGACAACATCCCGAGGAAATGGGGCGATCTTCCTGCAGGGTTATTTTCTTTCTTGCCAGCAAAAGAGGCCCAGACAGTTTGCCCAAGACACTCTTGATGGAGCACAGTGACTCACCCACCTCCGCCTGCCTCTGGTCCCACCATCCCTCCAAGGCTCGACAATGTCACCCAGACAACACTCACAATGGCAGAAGGAAGAGATGACCCTAACCTAGGAAGACCATCTTCCCTTCGACTGGTTCACCGCTGGACCAAGCAGGGACCTCTCCGCGTGATTCAATCAATTCAAGCTGGGATAACAAGAGGACCAGCCCTGGAAGGCTAACCAGACTGACCATGCTGAAGCTTTTGTGCCCATCACCACACTGGGCTGCTGTGGCGGGCACTTTGCTTAGCAGATAAAGAAATGAACGCGTGAACGAGTGACTAACTCCATAGCAGACGCATCATCTCACGCAACCCTGCAAGGCACTTATGTTACCCATGTTATAAATGGGGGCAGGCAGACTCCAAAGGGTTAAGCATCTTGTCTACGCTCACGTAGCTAGGAAATGAGGAAACCAGGCTCTCAACCCAGGTCTGGCTCTAAAGGTCAAGACTTCCAATGTCGAAGCCACCCTCGCGACCATGACGATGAATCATGTTTACACAGCCCCTGACACATCACTTATTGCATCCTCCCAACATTCCAGACAGCTGGGAAAACTCACCCTTAACAACACTTGCCATGTACTCAAGGTTGCACAACCAGCTGGGAGTGAAGCAGGGATCGGAACCTGAACTTTCATTCTTTCATCACAGATTGGAGGGCACCCCCAATCTGCCGTGTTCTATGTAACGGGATAGGGACATGTGGACTTCCTGGCTTCAAAGGGACATCTCCTTCAGGAAAGGCTCCCTCCCAGGACACCATATGTTGCCCATAAAATTTCCTTAGCAAAGCAGCACTCCAGCAGCTTTGTCTGGAAAGGGAAACTGATCGGAAGACAGAGGATGCTGGTTACAGACTGGACTGCACCCCCAGAACATGTGCTTTCAACATGGCCCTCTCTCCTCAAATCCGATCTTTTGTCGAAGTGTGGTTCTGCCCCCCTGAGGCTGCAGTGTGTGAACAGGCTGGGAGGCTGGCGTAGGACAGTCAGACCCGGCAGCAAACCCAACCCAGGTGCAGACACTCTCGGAGACAACGCAGGTGGGGTTCCGGGGGTGACAAGAAAGCCGACGTGGTGACCTCGTGTTTTCCCCATGTGTGTGAGCTATGTTTACACTGTCCTGCATTCTCTGAATGTGTGATAGCATGATGTCCGAAAATGTGTGTACCTTAACAGAAAACACTTGGTGTTAAACAATGCTGGCCATCATCAGAGGAGCAGGAAAGAGCACCAAAGACGCCTCCAAGCAGAATTGAGAGCTCCTTCAACTTGTAAAAAGCACCTTATCTGTGGAGTGCAATAGAGCCAGCTCTTCTGCATCAAATTCCTCACCGAGCCATCCATCCGAGCCATCCATCCGGAAAGGAAGCCTCAGGCTATTGAGTTTGCAATAACCAGCTACTCTGATCTCATCACACCAGAGCGCCAAAGGGGTGGAGCTAGGAGGGCGTGGATCCCTGGTGAGGCCACCCAGGAGACACAAACCCAGGCGCCCTTTATTCCGGACGGACGTGAGAGACAGGAAGAGATATGGGACCAGAAAATTCTCAGGCTCAGTCTTTTGCAAGACTTGGGGGGTGGATTCAGCACCATGGAGAACTAAGCATCACCTTCTTCCACCAAGCCCCTGGCTCCAGAGAAATAAAGAATTTGATACAAAGGAAAATTCAGAGACTACACAGCCGCGCTACGTGTCGTTTTCCATTCCCAAAGCCACAGTCAGTCAATATGGCGGCTCATTGTTTACTCACCAGTTCTTGGTATCGAGTGATATTCATGCTCCCTCCTGCCAGGGACCCGCCTTGACGCCTCCACATCAAGACCCACACACCTCGAAGCCATCACCGTGGCAACCAATGGCCCTAGCTTTCCATGGAGGGCCATTTTGTGGCTGAAGTGTATTTTACTCAAAGGGGTTCTTTGTAGTAATCAAGTACAATTAACTAGGACAACCACCTGCCAAAAACTCCCTCACCCACTCACCCCAACAAAGGCATCTAGCCAGACAGGTGCACGGAGGTAGACTTCTCAGGGATTTTAGTAACTGGACATGGGGGCTGGGTGTTGAGGTCACCGACATGGGAGCCCTCTTTGGGTGTGCCAAGGAGATTTCAGTCAGGCTGGCTCTGCTGTTTGAGAGTGCCAGTGCTGGCATCGGTGACGGTATGAGTCTCCCGAGTCTGAGCTTGGGTAGGCATGAGAGCTCAGTCCAGGACGGCAGCACACATTTCTCTGAGCACAAACATCTCTTGCTGGAATTTCAGAGCCATTATACAGAAGGAGAGAGAGAGGCCGAGAAAGCAAACCCTGGAAGTCAAAGGGAAGCAACAGAAGGAAGAAATCCACCAAGGAACAGAACTTTTTTCAGTCTCCTTCTCCCATTTCTCTAAAAATGGATGCAGAGAAAACAAGGAAGTTTCTTGGCTTACCTGGGTCGGGTTGTAGAGTTCCTGAAGGGGGCTCCGAGACCCCTTCCGGCAGCAGATGTCCACACCGAAGGGGTTCCTCCGCATGACTGAGGAAAAGAAAGTGAGGATTCATCAGGATTGAGCAGCAACCGTTTGTTGATTGACAAAGAAAAAGAAACAGAGGCGGGAAGAAGGAGCAGGGAAGGAAGCGTAATGACTGGTGTGCACAAAGCAAGATCCCACTGCTGCTCCTTTCTGGTAGCCCTGGGGCCTCGCCATATCCCCAATATCCAGGTGTCAGCCTCACGGGGTACAAATAGCACTGGACAACCCACCCAGCAACCTTTTTAAGAAAACAAGACAGCCATTAAAACTCATTGAAATGGGGCCCTCCCTGGTGGCGCAGCGGGTTAAAGCACAGCACT